TTTACGTTGCGTTGACGTAAATTTGACAGTTAGACAATAGATTTAGCTGTCACTTTGCCGCAACGCGTCAGATCCGGATCTAATGTGCGTGGGCCTTAAAAGCCTCTTTTGCTGACATCATTCCGCGTTGATCAGTAAATTGAGCCAGCATTGTATTGCTCTATTTTTATTTTTAATTTTTTTTAGTTCTTTATAAAGGAGATTTTTAGCCTATGGCTAGTTCATCTCCGAGTATTGTATTGTTTTAGAAATTCTTGGATTTTTTTTAAATGTGCCCCATGTATTGTTAATAACAAAGCCTTCTTAATGGTGTCACCCACTACATTATCGATGATGCGACGTTTTTCTCTTTCGCTGAAGTCCGAGGAAGGTTTTGAAGGTCGTCCACGTTTTGCTGCCAATGAAACAACGAGTCAATAACCTTTTTTATTTCAAATTTCTCATGAAAGTCATCCTCTAGAAACTTTTAAAACTCTTTAAGACGAGTGTTTTATAGCAAAATTTGTTGTCTGTATCTTTTCTAATAAAAAAGATATACCCAAATATAGTAAAAAAAATGAATAAATTCAAATGTATTTTATACGAGTTTAAAAAATAACATACCTCCAACTTTTTCATATTATTGAGAAAAACATTCGTCCTTTCAAATGCCTTATAAAAACTTTTTTTGCTTGCCCCAATCAGAGATATTAACATTTGAAAAGTGCATATTTTTAGTACAAAAACGTCAATAACTCTTGATCGGCGAAAGATATTGACAAGCTTTGTGCAGCAAAAATTTGCGCCTTCTAAAGATCTAAAAGTCATTTGAAGACACTTTTGCTGAGAAATTTGAAATAAGAAAACTAGAGCAAAATAACTGTTTTTTTAGCGCCACCCTAACTCAATTCAAGAAAATAGCTCTAAATCGGTCAATTTAAGAGATACAAAAAAGTTGTTTCCAACAAAGTTGCTTAAAATTAGCTCAGCTATAACTTTGTCGAAAAATGTATACCTTAATTTATTCAAACAAAAAAGTTAGATTTTTGATTTTAATGATAATAAGAACCACCCTAGAATTCATTGTCATAAAAATGAGGACCTAACTATAAGGAACAGCTTTGTAGAAGAAACTTTTAGTCTAAAGTTTCAATTTCAGGCTCAAAACATATCATTCCACCTAAATCTGCATTCTGGACCACTGACTGTGCATTGGGTTTATGGCGCGTAGACTAGAGGACAAAAACAATGGCTACTATGTCACACTGAAGTATACAGTGTTGCCCACAATACAGTTGCTTAATCATGCCATAAGATTATCAATCTCTTAAACAATTAATAACTATTTAATTTGTGGTTTGGCTGAAAAACAATTTTCTCCAAAGTTGTAGCTGATAAAAATTCCCATAAAAATAGCAATTGAATTTGTTAACAGTACAATATGTAAAAAGGCTAAAAGACAATGTACAAAAAGTTTTGTTTTCCCATAGTAATTTCCATATAAACTTCAAATGGTTTGTGCCGAGTCAGTTTCTTATCAAATGAGTTTAAACTTTCGGAGGCTAATTAGGACCAGATTTGAAACCGTTTGAACACCGTAGAGCGAAAATTTCAAATTTTGCATCAGTCTAGTAAGCAGAGCAAATTGGTTTTGCTCGAATTGTGTCCCGCCAGTTCAGGAGCTGACCGTTCCGAAGCAACAAGATGTGCGTTCAAAAAAGACTTCGAAAAGTAATGCAAGGTCTAATAGTGGGACTAGTGCCGTCCTGGAACCAACCGACAAGTCGTTGGAGAAGGAACAGCTCGTGAAAGAGAGAACCTTTGCAAAGCAGATGGAGATTCTAAAAAAAAACGAATTGCGCAGGAGGTAGCTTGGAACGAAAAGCATTTAGAACAAGAGCGGAAGATGCAAGAGATGGAACTCGAGGCTCGGCGTGAGATACAAAAGCATCAACTGAATCAAGAAAGGAAGCTGTTGGAGACCCAGCAGGTCGAAGAGCGGAAATTTCTTAAGCAATTGGATACCATTCGAATCCAAATGAAACAGAAAGCTAAGCTTTCGAAGCATGACGTCGTGGGTGCTGTCGGTGGACACGTGGAAAAGGTGAAGGACTGGTTGGAGCAACAAGGCAAGCCGCAAACTGGAGATCCTCGTGGAGCCTACGAGAAAGGTGTAAAACCAGTTACGGTAATGAGCACCACCAAGGACCGGAAAGGATTGAATCCAACCCAGCCGCAGTCCTATTCGGTCTGTGACGGAAAGGATTGGGAATCAAATGAAACCGATGAACAAAACTCCGACGATCGAAAAACCTGCGGACAAAACAGCGATGAAGAAAGAAGCCAACTCAGAAGCAGGGATAAAAGTAGCCATAGAGTCGGTTCGGAGCATCGAATTGCCAGGCTCACACCAGATCAATTGGCTACTCAGAAGGCAATCTGTAATAGTCTGCCAAAGTTTAATGGACACGCACAAACCTGGCCGCTGTTCATTAGCAGCTATGAACATACTACGGCTACGTGCGGATACAGCAACCTTGAAAACCTCAAGCGCTTGCAGGACAGCTTGGAGGGTGAGGCATTAAATGCAGTTCGTAGCATGCTGCGAAGTCTTTTTGGCCAACCGGAAAAAACTGATGAGGACGCTATTGGTCAAGGTGAGGAATGCACCAACACCTGACTGGCTTGAAACCTTCATCAGTTTCGGCATTACGGTAAAACAACTCTGTGACCATCTGGAAGCAGCGCGATTAAACGATAACCTCGACAACCCGATGCTGGTTCAAGAGCTGGTGGAGAAGCTTCCGCCAAATTAATAATTGGAATGGGTTAGATACAAAAGAGGAAAAGAATGCACTCCTTTGAGGAAGTTTACCAACTTCATCACGGATATCGTTGCCGATGTATCAGAGGTGGCAGATTTTTCGACAGTGGAAAAGGAGATGGTACATCCTGCGAGGGGAAATCCTAATAGGAAGGAACACGTGTATCTACACGAGTCAGTGCTCAAGCGCGGCGAATTGTCACAGAGCGAAGCGGTCAGCAAAGCGTGCTGGATTTGCCAGCGAACGGATCACAGGATCAGGTTTTGCGATGATTTCCGGAAAATGAACGTCGCAGAACGACTGATGGCGGTAGAAAGGAAAAACTGTGCGAAATCTGCCTAAATAAGCATGGCGATGAACGTTGTGAGTCCAAGCAACGTTTCCACATTAAACACTGCCAGGGAAGCATCATCCTCTCCTGCACAGGGTAGAGAAATTGGTTCAGTTGCAGAAGGTTACGTGCAATTCACACGGTACGGATCGTGCGGTCATTTTTCGCATGGTTCCGATAACGTTGCACGTAGGTAAAAAACGGCACGATACGCTGGCGTTCCTACATGAGGGCTCGCCCGCTACATTGGTCGATGAAAGTGTCGCAAAGCGACTGGACATGAAAGGAGAACCTGAACACAGGTTCGAGAATAGTTCTATAAAGATTGACTTGATGCTGTCAGCGAGGGGATCTGCGGAGAAGTGTCCATTGGATATCGTACGAACAGTGTCCAAGTTGGTTCTGCCGCAGCAGGACGTGCATTTCGCGCAATAATGGAGAAGTATCTGCATCTGGCTGGAGTAGGTAGTCGATTACGCGGGAGAGCAGCCAGCGATTCTGATTGGATTGGACAATTTGCATTTGTTTGCGCCGTTGGAGTCACGAGTCGGAGAGAAGAATGAACATATCGCCGTTCGCACAAGAATCGTCTGGACAGTCTGCGGGCCAGAGAAACGGAGAGGCAGTGCTAACGTTTATTTGAATCTGCATTCTGGCGAACTGGTGAGCAACGAGCAGCTGCATGATATGATGAGGGAGCAGTACATCCTCGACGAAACAAGAGTGTCATCCTTTGCAGTACCAGAACCGCTAGAAGATCATAGGGCCCGCGCTATCCTACAAGCGACAACGAAGCGGATTGGAACGCATTTTGAAACCGGACTTTAATGGCGTGAAGACGAGCGTTGTTTCCCTGACAGCTTCCCGATGGCCGAGCGCAGGATGAAGGCTCTTGAGTGGAAGTAAAAAAAGAATCCAGCGCTGAAGCTAAATGTATGTCAGCAGATTGCTGATTACCAGACCAAGGGCTACGCGCATAAGGCAACCGAAGCAGAGCTTGCAGAAACACCCTGTCTGGTATTTTCCGTTGAATGTAGTGGAAAACCCGCGAAAGCCCGGGAAGGTGTGCCTCGTATGGGTCCTTCCCTAAATTCTCAGCTATAAAAGGGCCCGACATGTTGGTACCTCTTCCCCGAGTAATCTGTCATTTCCGAGCAGGACCAGTCGCGTTTGGAGGTGATATTCAGGAGATGTATCACCAATTTGAAATTCGACGGGAGGATAAGCAGGCACAACGGTTTCTCTTCAGACCGAGTAAAGCAGAGGCCCCGCAGGTGTATGTTATGGACGTGGCTACCTTTGGCTATCCTTCGTATAAGAAACTGGGTGTCGAGCTCTGATGCGTTTTTGGAGGAAATCGGTGAGCAGAGTACTAATTCGGCAGTGCACTTCAACAGGGATAAAGGCAGAGAGTATGAACGCGTGTTGGGCATTGTGTGGGAGCCAAATGAAGATGTCTTCTGTTTCGCTACCGCCCCGAATGTCGAATTCCATATATTTTTACAAGGGAAGGAGTGTCCCACAAAACGGATTGTGCTAAGCTACGTGATGGCACAATTCGACCCGATGGGTTTTCACGCACCAATCGTCGTACTTGGAAAGATGCTCGTCCAAGATTTGTGGAGGACTGGGTGCGAATGGGACGACAAAATTGACGACGTTTCGTTCAAGAAATGGCTGCATTGGACTCAACTGTTGCGTGACATAGAATCGTTCAAGATCGGCCAGAGTTAAATGGCAAAGCGAAATCGAACGAGGTCCAAGATGTAGAGCTACACATCTTCGCAGACACAAGTGAAACGGCGCACGGATGTGTGGCCTATTTTCGGGCAATCGTACAAGGTGAGGTGAAATGTGCACTGGTGATGAATCGCTCCAAAGTGGCTCCATTAAAGCAGTTGTCGATTCCTCGTATGGAACTTCTGGCCGCCGTTCTTGGAGCCAGGCTAAAGCAAACAGTGATGAATAATCATCATTTTGCGATTATTAGAGTGCTACACTGGATCGATGCCGACGTTGTCCTGTCATGGATTCGATCTGATCAACGCCGATACAAACAATTTGTAGGATTTCGCATTGGCGAAATTCTTAGTTTGACAAAAATATCCGACTGGCGCTGGGTACCTACAAGGCTCAACGTGGCAGGTCAGCTAACAAAGTGGGGCAAGGACCCAGTGCTACATTCTGATGGCTCATGGGTGCGAGGACCTTCCTTTCTGTACTCTCCGGAAACAGATTGGCCAAAGAAACAGCTACCACCAGCAAACACGACAGAAGAGCTCCGAATACACTTGCTATTGCACAATGTAGTCGTACCCGAAATTCTCGTAGATGCGAGAAATATCTCGAAGTGGACAGTGCTCGTGAGGATGATGGCATCTGTCCTGCGGTTCATCTCTAATTGCCAGCGAAAGGTTAAAGGGCTACCGATCGAAACACTAAAAGCAACGGATAGGCAGAGAAAGCTGCTGAGTCCGATTATCATCAGTAAGATTCAGATGCCTTTACAACAAGAAGAATATGAGAAAGCGGAACGGTACCTGCAGAAAATGGCACAAGCCCAGGGCTTCATCGATGAGTTGAAGGTACTAAAACGGAACAAGGAGCGACCGGTGACCGAGTGGCTGGCTTTAGACCGAACCAGTCCGCTACACAAGCTGACGCCGCTGATTGACGAGAGCGGTTTGATTCAGATGGAAGGTCGCTGCGAACTTGCGAAATCCCTGCCATTTGATCTGTGTTTTCCAGTAATTTTGCCAGCAAGCAATTGGGTTACACATCTGATTGCATTGCACTATCATAAAAGAAGTGGCCATGGATATCGACAGGTTGTCAGAAACAGGCTGAAACAGCTGTACTACGTCGTGAGCATAGATGCCGTTATTAAGTCAGCGTTGAAGTCCTGCATGTGGTGTAAAGTTCACCGCAATCGTCCCACGGTTCCACAAATGGCTCAATTGCCAGAACAGCGGATTACGCCGTACCTGCGCCCATTTAGCTACGTTGGAGTCGATTACTTGGGGCCGTTTGAAGTAACTGTTGGATGCCGGACAGAAAAAAAGGTGGATTGAACTATTCACCTGCTTCGTGACCAGAGCAGTTCATCTAGAGGTGGTGCAGAGATTGACGACACATTCGTGTTTAATGGCGATTCACTGATTCATAGGTCGCAGAGGCTGGCCTCTCGAAATGCTCTCAGACATTGGGACGAATTTTCCAGGAGCTAGTAAGTAGATACTGATTATGTTTCGGGAAATCGAGAACGATTGCGCGAATCAACTGACGAACGCAAGAACGAAGTGGACGTTTAATCCCCCTGCAGCACCCCATTGGGGGGGGGGGGGTTTAGGAGCGCCTTTTTCGGTCGGTTAAGGAGATCTTGAAAGCACTAGATGACGACAAGCGGCTAACCGACGAGATTCTACAGACTGCGATTCTAGAAGCGGAAGATATTATTAATTTGCGTCCACTCACATACGTAGCCCAGCAGTCAAACGAGCTAGATGCACCCACACCTAACCATTTTTGCGAGTAGCTTCGTTAAATCAACCTAATGCAATGCCATCTCTTCCTCCACCACAGCCAGCGGTAGCTCTTCGGGATGGATTTCAACGGTTGCAAGAGTTAGCCAGCTTGATGTGGAAACGCTGGATCAACGAGTACATTCCGTCGTTTAACCATAGGACTAAATGGTTTGGCGAGACTGCTGTGTTACCTTACTTATAACGAATATACGTTATATACGAGTACCCCGAATACAACGTATGACTCGTCTAATTTTGCATAGCATTTGCAATGTAAAATTAGACGAACTATACGTTGTATTCGGGGTACTCGTATACAACGTATATTCGTAATAAGTCAGGTAACACAGTAGACCCCTGAAAGCTGGAGATCTGGTGTACATCATCGCAACAACCGGAAGTGTTGAGTCCGGGGAGTAGTGGAGGAACCCATCGTGGCCAGTGATGGCTGAATTCACCAGGCATGAGTGGTAACAAATAGTGGAAGGAAAAGGCGGGCGACTGCACAGTTGGCCGTGCTTGAGATTTACGAGAGTAACACCGAGCCGGTGACCTCCGGAACTGGGTTACGGGCCGGGGAATGTGGCAGTCCCCATCGGGAGCGTTTGTAAAATGATCGATAGGGCCGCAGCATAACTGTCATATTTAGGTAGAAACGGAAACGTTTAGATTGGACTGTCATCGACAAGAATAAGTGTGTGAAAAGACCGTCGCATGGTTAATGGACTTGTTGAAAATTAAAGTGATTAATTAAATCTACCTTTTCAACTAAAAGATCAGGTACAAACAAAATTGAAATACTTAGTCAAATTTAAATACCCACTTACTTGCCTACTTATATTAATCTACAAAGGACTTCACAACATTGAGGTTATTACTACGATTCGTGCACTAGGAAAGGATCCATTTGACCTAGATTCGCGTGAGTTAAAACTTACAGCTAAAATACATATAATTATTAAACAGAACAACTATACTATTACTAGGAATCGGGTAGTCGTAAGCCTACACATTTGAGTTAAAATTAGAGAGCGGAAAATCTAGGTGGAAAAAGGAAACTTAAATTGTAAGAAACGATAAAATTTAATGTTAAAACTAAAACTAATTCAATTAATAAATTACAGTTTGATCTGTTAAGTGCGAAGCCAAATTTACGAAAGTTCTTAATTACTCAAAAATTTCAAATAATCACTTTCAAGACCTTTAACACATATTGCTGTAATCCCTTCGAAATAGATGGTCACAAAGGAGTGAAGAAATCTTTGCGGTGTGTTACTCAGAACAATATGTTTGAGCTTTTATTCGCGAACATCGACGACCAAAGCCATTATGTACAAACACAGTTACACCCATTTGAAATATTAGCACCGATTTAACAATGTTCTTTTAACATTTAGCATTATTTTAAGTTTGTGATCGATTTTACTTTGAGATTTTTTATAGTCTACAGTAATTTAACAGTTGCGGTACTGACTCTTCTTCTTCTTCTTTATTTCGCCATATGAGAAGTTTTCTATGGATCAGCAATACTGTTCCGTAGGATTCAACCAAAGGTTGTAAGAAAGAACGAGCAGAGATGAAAAGAAGGAAAAATAATAATTATAGGGTGCTATGAGGTTCCTGAATTTTTATAGGAGTGGGCATAGGAGGATTTCACAGTGCCCAGTGTCATAAAACATAAAAACATTATGATTTAAATGAACTGTGCTTATTTGCAATGAATGTAATAGGGGAATTTACGTATTCTCGACAACCTAAGCAGCGACCTTCTTTCTATAGTCTTTTTCTCTAAGGAACGCACACATATGCAGTATTGGTTTGTTTACAATCTTTTGCTGCCAGCTGCTCTAACAATTTCAGTCGAAAGAATTGTCAAAAGCTGTTTTGAAACGCTTTTACAAAGCCCCAATCTTCTCTAGTGAGAGCGAGTATTGTCGGCAACCAGTTTTTCTTCGGCAACCGTTCCATTTGAACTGCATGTAAATCTGCTGTTCTATTATCGGCAACTCGAAATCAGCTACAATTTGTAGTGCGTGTGTTTCATTTCAAGAAAAGCTTGCTAGATTGCTTTTTCTCAGTGGTAAAAATATAGTCAAATTGAAGCTGAAAGCATAAAGAATCGTTTGCATGCATTCAGCGAAGTGTTTTCGTAAGAAAATCAAGTGAAAATAGTGTTTCAATTTGGGTTGCCGAAAATAGTCTGGCATGCCGAAGCCGTCATTTCCCCTATCTTTTATTTTATTTTTTTTAAATTAATTTATTTAAAATATATCAGTGCATTACCTATAATATTGTTTTCCCACTTTGTTCCATTCGACCATTTGTCCATTCGACCATTTGTCCATTCGACCATTTGTCCATTCGACCATTTGTCGCTCTTTGGACCATTCGACCATTTGTTCATTTGACCTTTTGTATCCCTTTTAATTATTCGACCTTTTGTCCATTTGGCATTATGTTCCTCTTTGGATCATTTGACATTTGTTACCATTTGACGTTTAGTCTATTCGACGTTTGGACCCTCTTTACATCATTCAACCATTTCTGTCCCTCTGTGAACCATTCGACCTTTTATCAAGGAGGCGTCACATCTAAATCTCAATTCTAGATGCTCGAAAAATCAATCTACGATAAATCTTCTTTTTTTTATTTCTCTCATCTACTTCCATCGCGCATCATCATTTTGCAGGAAATCATCAGAATCGTCATCAATCTTCTTTCTATCTACTCAGCGTGCGCGCAGCTAACCAACCACATCAAAACAAAATCATTCCTGCTTCGTAGATAGAGTCGCCCCCCTCGCCGTTTAACCATTTGATCATTTGTTCATTTGACCTTTTGTCCTGCTTCTCATCATTCGACCTTTTATCCTCCTTCGTACCATTCGACCTTTGGTCCCCTTCTCATCATACGACATTTGTCAATTCGACCATTTCTTCCTTCGACCTTTTGTCATTTGACCTTTTGCCGTTCGACGTTTAGTCCTTCGAAGTGTTTAACTACACGCTAACTTGGAAGTACCCATTAATGAGTAAAAAAACCCCTTTTCAAGAAAAGTGGCTTAACTTATTAATGAAACAGTTACTCATTAATGGGTAACAGATATTCATTAATAGGTAAAACATTAACTCATTAATGAGTTAAGCCATTTTTCTTCAAAATGGCAAATGCTTAATCATTAATGGGTACTTTAAAGTTAGCGTGTAGCAATAACGGGTAGCAACTTCATCGGATCTTAAGCCATTTTACTTCTCCATTTGGGAATATTTGCTACAAAATAGAGAAAACACGAAGTTGTTTACTATGGACCGACTCAAGCAACGTTTGCTTCTAGGTTTGCCGGAATAAGTCTTATTCCACGGGAAATCGACATTTATAGCCATTGTTTACATTTGGCACATAGACCCTTTTTACATGTTGCTCTAGATTGGCCAGTTCTGCTTTTGAATGGTGACTTCCAGTGAATCTTCTTCGATCAATGTTGGCATTCTAAAAATGATATGAGTCTGAGCAAATGATTGTGGCATATAAATCTCGTCAACTTTCGTTAGCTTCATTCCTACGAAACATGGATCTGAGTTGATTAGATGAACATTTCTATTCCGGATAACCAGCATGAAACATTGAACAGTACAACAATCCTCCCCACGGGCGGACATGGTTCGAATACACTCGATTGTTCGTTCCGGCGAAATTTACGATTATTACTCTCCCTCCGAATCATGCAATCCAAAAGTGATGGCATGAAACTTCAAAACAAAACAACACACCCATCCGGTCCCATCTAGAGAGAAAAAGAAGGTAATTTATGGGAAGGGTTGTCCGGATGGATTTTTCTGGGAGCCATTTCGATGAAAACAGAAAAAGAATTGGAAAAACAAATGAACTCCTCCCACACCCGGTCGATCAAGGGCACATCTCCCTGAAGGCCAGTTTGGTTGAGACGAGAGCTGATTTGCTCGTTAGGTGTTATGGTTTTCGTTACACTTTCATTTAAATTATTTGTTACTGTGGGGAAATCCTACAAGGGAAGGCGTCTGGCTTAATGTCTCAGAACAGAAAGGGGCAAAAATCGGCAAAACGTCGATTTGCCAAGGATAAGCTCCCACCGGAAAGGAAATATATCGTCAAAGCCATCAATCTACGGTGGGCTTGATCAAATCGTTACAGATAATTTATTTTCATGCTTTGGCAATTTCCTTTCACCCCATCCGTGCACATCATCTACAACCCATGTGGGCTTGGGGAAATGATGTAACGAAACACAAATTGTCTCTGTGCCTGGCTGTTGCAGGCTTTGATAAACTTTTGAATTACACGGGTTTTCACTAAGATATTTAACGGTTGTGAGTCATCTTATTCGTCTTCTTCTTCTAGATTTTTGTACTTGCAATCTAGTGTTCTTTGAGCTCTCCCGCAGTTGTTAGTAGAGAGCTTTCTAAGCCTGTACTTTCTTCATGTGCTGGAAAGTCTCGAAATTTTCAAAAAAAAGGATGACCAGACCGGGAATCCCGCTTGCAGCTGGGTTTTGTAACTATGCGTCTTTA